TTTCTTTTAGTTTTTTTTTAAACTTCATTTACTTATTTGTTTAGAGAGAGAGAGAAAGAGAGAGAGAGAGAGAGAGAGAGAGAGAGAGAGAGAGAATCTCCAACAGGACGCTCATGCCATGATTCACCTCTAGTCCCAGCCAGCTTGGACCACAGGCACGAGTGTGCTGGGAGTGCAAAGGGAGGTCCCAGGATGCAAACCCAGGACCTTTCTCATGTGCTCACAGTTATATTATCACCGTCTATCATTCTTGGTTCCTGTTCTCTCCAGGCTCCCTGAATTCTCATGTCTATCTTTGACCATTCCTGCCCGGAATTCCTCTGGAAAATGCATATCCAGTCTTGAAGAATGGGTCAGTCATCCTGATTCCCATTGGTGCCTTCTCTGTGCTCCCCGCAGCATGCAATAAAGACCATGCTAGCTTTCGGTGCATGGCAGGTGCTGATCATACGTGGCTTTCTTCCCAAGACAGAGGTTGTATCTCAGGCATCTACGAGGGCCCCGCCCAGCACTACCACACTCCAGGGATTCAGAAAATGCTTTATAGATGTCCAAGTGCAGGAAGTCTGTATTCAGTTTCTTGCATCTTTGACTCATTCATTCATCTCCTTTCTGTTGGCCATTAAAGTGCCAAGTGTTTACCCTTGTGGCAATTCTTATATCCAATGATGTTCATTTAACAACTCCTGAGCATCCTAAGTGTGCTGGGTGACAAGGGAGGTGAAGGGAAGAGAGAGAGAGAGAGAGAGAGAGAGAATCTCCAACAGGACGCTCATGCCATGATTCACCTCTAGTCCCAGCCAGCTTGGACCACAGGCACGAGTGTGCTGGGAGTGCAAAGGGAGGTCCCAGGATGCAAACCCAGGACCTTTCTCATGTGCTCACAGTTATATTATCACCGTCTATCATTCTTGGTTCCTGTTCTCTCCAGGCTCCCTGAATTCTCATGTCTATCTTTGACCATTCCTGCCCGGAATTCCTCTGGAAAATGCATATCCAGTCTTGAAGAATGGGTCAGTCATCCTGATTCCCATTGGTGCCTTCTCTGTGCTCCCCGCAGCATGCAATAAAGACCATGCTAGCTTTCGGTGCATGGCAGGTGCTGATCATACGTGGCTTTCTTCCCAAGACAGAGGTTGTATCTCAGGCATCTACGAGGGCCCCGCCCAGCACTACCACACTCCAGGGATTCAGAAAATGCTTTATAGATGTCCAAGTGCAGGAAGTCTGTATTCAGTTTCTTGCATCTTTGACTCATTCATTCATCTCCTTTCTGTTGGCCATTAAAGTGCCAAGTGTTTACCCTTGTGGCAATTCTTATATCCAATGATGTTCATTTAACAACTCCTGAGCATCCTAAGTGTGCTGGGTGACAAGGGAGGTGAAGGGAATAACATGAATTGTTCACTGTTGGCACCAAACGGCAGGAATTGTTGACTGTGCAACTTTTGTTGGTCAGTGTGCTGACACCTTATAAAATGGCTTCTCTCATGAGGCTTATGTCCTGGTGGGGCTTAAATTCTAGTGGGTAGGATAATATAAGAAGGTCATTGGCCCTGGAGACAGCAGTGGCAGGCCCACCCTGACCTTGCCCACCATGCGGAGGTGGTGCTCCTGACCCACCCTGGCTTCATGCAGGTCCACACACGTATGCGGATGGCCCAGGCAGCAAGGTAGAGTCTGGTCCTTCTGTATCTCTTCCCTCAGAAGGTGGACCTAGAGAGGAGACCTGTATAGTTGCCGGCAGTAGGTTCGAGGCTATTTGGGCAGAGAGTTCTATGTGCTTAGAACATTGTCTTGAATGGGTGGGCACTGGCCACATCCCTGAACTCCTTGCCCTATGGATGTTAATGTGCAGGGCCCACGGAGGGGGCGCTAACAATGGCATTGGACACCAAGGCCTATGAAGTGCGATGCCGCAGTCTATACATATGCTTTAAAAAGTGTCTAAGGGAGGAGGGGACAGCCCAGTGGCCTAGTGGTTAAGGGAGCATGGAACCCACATGGCTGACTGGGATTCAAATCTCAGCCCCAGTGGCAGTGGCTGGAAAAACATGCCAAGTATGTATCCATGTGTGCCCCAAATCCTACCAGGATGAAGAAATGAAGAAATTGCAGCAATGGCCACACCCCTTTGAGGGGATGTTTTCTCCCTCTTCCTTTCTCTATCTTTCTCTCTGGTGAGTGCACATACAATTTTAAAAAAATTAAAAAAGAATCTAAGGGAGATATTGCCCATTTATGCCCACTTTGTCTGGAAATGCATTATGTGGACAGCAGAAACCTTTCTGGACACCCTTGGCTCATGAAGAGCATGGGAAACTTTCCTTCCTCCACCTTCAGCTAGTGACAGGTGATCCAAGAGGGAAGCAGAAGTTGGGTGGAGGTGAGGAGAAAGAGTCCTGCTAGCTGCAGGTGACAACACTGCTCTGGGAGGACAAAAGCTGGCACCAATTGGGCTGAGAGTGGCAATCTCACGGCTCAGATGCTGAGGCACTGGGTGATAACGGCTACCAGGGAATCCTGAATCTGACTCAGTACCCGAGTCTCCTCAAACTTGGTGCTAAAGGTGGCATCTGTACTAACTGCTCAGTATCCAGGACTCTCCTGAAGGGCAGGGAGGCCTGAGAGGACTGCAATGATTCTCCTTATTTGTTTGTCATCTTTAGATGTCTTCACTGGAAAGTGACTTCTCATGCTTTTCCCCCTATTTCACAGGGGCAAGTGAGAAAGAGTTGATTGCTTTCACCTGGGAAGAGAGTTAATTAAGTTCAGGGTGGATGAGAGTCCAGAGAACTTAACTTTGTCAGAAGCCACACACACAGCAAGGCTGGCAGAAGTGGGCTTTAAACCCATGTCTGATCTGACTCCAGAGCCCAAGGTGTACTTACTGACCTTCTCCAGGTGTGGACTGAGAAGCGAGGTCTGGTTCCCTCCCTTGAATGATGATGGGCTTCTCTCTCTCTCTCTCTCTCTCTGCCAGAGAGTGTGTGCACTTGCTAGAGAAAGACAGGGAGAGACAGGGAGAGAGGGGAGATAGTGGGAAGTCTCTCTTCATATAATAGCAAGGGAAGAATACACACAGATGCATTCCAGCCTAAGAGCCTGTGTCCTTTAAACGACAGTCCATGTACAGATTCCTCCTTCATGGAGAATTGTCATGCCACAATCCCAGCTCCTCCATTTTCCTTCCTTTTGGGACTTTGAGCACACACACGCACACACACACACACACACACACACACACACATAGCCAGGTCTATGACACCAGGCCACCAGGTCTGGGACACTGCTGTCAGTCATGTAGGATCCAGTCACCTTAACCATCACACCACAGGCCGGTCCTCTCTCTCTTTTTAAAAATTCACCCATTCATCTCTTCAGAGAGAAAGACACACACATGCACAAACACACACACACACACACACACACACACACCCTTAAAGGACCCCCCCCGCCATGGCAAAATCCACCCCTGCCCTCAGCCTGCCCAGGCTATGGGCTTGCATACACATTCCCCGTTCACTCGGAAGGTCCCAGGATGCAAGCATAGGACTTCTCCCATGGGAGTCCAGCCTTGCCACTGCTACTCCGCTGCCTGGCCCAAATCATGATGGGCTTCTGACTACAACCGAGTGTGGAAGAAATGACATGATCGAACTTCCAAGGGCAAGTAACAAAAGACCATGCGATTTCCTCCTTGTGTGCTATAGTTGTCCCTCTCTGAGCCCTGAGCTGCCATGTGGAAGTCCAGCAACTCAAGGCTGACACACTTGGGTCACTGTGGGTACTCTGGCCGACAGTCCAAGCCAAGTCTGTCCCTCACCAGCCCAACCCAGGCACCTGGTGAAGCAGTAGAAAAGCCCTGTCAGAATGGGTGGCTCCAGCCTCAGCCACCCACGCCACACCCGGCCATCGGAGTGTCCCATCGGAGGCCTCACATTCCATGGAACAGAATCCCGATTGTGTCCTTGCTGAATGACTGACACTCAGAACCCATGAGCAAAATAAAATAGTGACAGGCTGGGCCACTTAATTTGAGGAACTTGTCTCACAGTAATAAATAACCAAAATAGAATTTAAAGCATTCTGGAGGAAAGCGGACGTCATAGAGATGGGAAAACAGTGACGGCACTAGTCCAGAATTTGGCCTGGAGCTTTCCGGTTCTATAGTCACCCCTCAGATATGTCCTCTCTCTCTCTCTCCCAGTCTCTCTTTCTCCCTTTCTCTCTCTCTCTCTCTCTCTCTCTCTCTCTCTCTCTCTCTCACACACACACACACACACACACACACACATCTCATCATCATCATTCCCTAATGCTCCAAATAGAGACAAGGCGAATCAAAAACCTTAGACCCACTAGGTCTGTGGAGGAAATGCTAGAACCGTGGCAGACATAAGAGGCCAAAAGGGAAGAGAACGAGTGTTCAACGATGTCTACTGCAATCCAGACTCTGCAGTTACCACTGCGCTTAACCCATTACTTTAACAAATACTTTGTCTCACCATGTGACAAGAACGGGTCCAGGGATGAAGCCAGGGACAAAACAAAGTCCCCACCTTCATGGGGCTTATGTGTGAGTAAGGATGACAGATAATAAATAATTATGTAGTGGCAGGTGGCGTGGAGAAATATAAAGCAAAGCAGGTGGAAACACCATGCACTTTAGAGAGGATGGCTAGGAAAGGGCTCCCAAAGAGGGAACAGTTCGAACAGAGTAAGTCTAGAGGAGGGCGAGCAAGCCTGTGTGACCCGAGTCCACACTGACCACTAGTAGCACGGGAAAAATACACATGGATGCCTTCCAGCCAAAGAACCTGTGCCCTTTAAACGATAGTCCATGTGCAGATTGTCCCCTCTAGGTCTCAGAGAACCCCCATCAGGTGTGGACACGGGAGGGAGAGGAGACTCCTCAGTGGGTACCTCAGTTACCCACCAAACAGCAGCCAGGCCTGCCCTCCGGACCCTCCAGGCAGAGCCACGAGAGGGGTACTTACACAGAGCACGTGGAGGACCACCGCTCCTTGTCTTCTATCCTCGTTGGTGAAGATGTCATTGGGGAATTCATGCAGGGCTAAAGAACAGAGAAAGAAAACCAGCTCAGTATAGACAACAGCATTACAAAGTTGTAGGTCTAGGACAGCGTTGCCAGTCCTGGTTTTAGAGCTCAGGCTTTAATAGGGGGTCCATGAACTTGGGTGAGAAAAGATACACCTTTAAGTGCTTGAAACTCTAGCCAGAATTTGGTGCTTCCTTCAGATAAGAATGCCTTCATGGTGCAGCAGCACTGCCCTGCTCAAGAGGAGCTGATCCCACATGGCGATCACAGATTGAGTCCCCAGCCTGGACAGCCTGAAGCACACCGGGCACGTTCATGAGTCTCCAAGGTCCAACAGGCTGGAGGACTGGAGGAAGAGGATTGCAACATGACGGGACCCTGGAGAGGGTGACTGATCTCTCCGATCTCTTCCTTCCTCTCTCTTTCTCTTGCATATGTATGTGCTTTATCATAAACAAACAAACAAACAAAAAAACAAAAAAAAGAAAGATCCAGCCAGTGGTGTGGTGGTTAAGGTGGATGGCTCCCAAATGGCTGATATGCAGTTTGAGCCCCAGACTGGGTAGCTTGAAAAACATGCCAGGGGTATGTACATGTGTGCCCAGATCGTGAAAGGAGGAAGAAATGGAGAAGAGATTGTGGTTGACCATCCTCCATAGGAAGTGTTTTCTCACTTACTCTGTCTCTGTCTCACTCTGGCGGGGGGGGGGGGGGAAAAAGAAAAAGAAAACACCTCCTGTTCCCCCTTGGGGGGGGGGGGGGGAGAAAAAGAAAAAGAAAAAACCATGTAGGCAACAAACCACTGTAGTGTTAGCAGAATTGAGGCTTGGTCCCCAGTAGAAATGTTCATAATCCATTCTACAAGGAGACTTCAAAAAGTTCACGGAACATGGAATTAAAATATGGGTTTATTGTGCAAAACATTGTGGAATGAAGGCATAGTTTTTTCATAATGCACATTTTCATGAACTTTTTAAAAACCCTTCACATTATTATACTTGGGGAGCTCTCACTCATCCTCTCAATATTGCGGTGGTTTTTAGACCACCACTTGTGAAGTGTTAGCGGAAGGCACATGGATTACTATCATGCAAATGATTTCTTATTAGTTTAACAACTTCATTTCAGTGTGACCAGTTTCCCCTTGTAACGCTATGTACTTTGCTGAGAAGTATGTATCAGAGCAGGGTCTGCAGTCCCTGGATTACCCAGTGGGTCCACCGCAGAGAGAGGATTGAGGTCCCTGCTCTAAACTGTCCCCTTTTTAGTGCCTTTCCTTTTCCTCTCTTCCTGCCCTGGCGTGGGGCTATGGGCCTCCTGAGTTTCACAACTCCCCCTCTCTCACTCACTCCCCTTACCCCACATTTGCAGCTGGACTGGAATACCAACCACACCCTCTCTGATCCCAAACCTGAAAATGAGATGAAAACCAGTCTGTGAACCGGTGGTCCAAGTGGGCCCTGGCCACTTGGACTGGGCTCCCTCCCTCTCTCTCTGACACTTAGCACGTGCCATTCACTCAGTTACTGAGCAGCTGGCGGGAGCCACGAGTCCTGCTCCCTGCTTGAAATCCTGCAGAGAGCACTGTGTTCGCACAGTCTGATGGGGACGACCACATGCCAGACCCTGAACACACCATCAATTTTCATTTTTTTTCCTATTTAGTTTTTATTTCTTTATTTATTTGGCTGCATGATCAGCCAGGAGTGTGTCCCCACCCTTAGTTGTACCTCCCCCCCCTGCTTCACATAAAATCCAATTGCCTGCAGGACCAGGTTCTCATACATCACTGTTTCATTTTTTTTTTTTTAATCTTTTAAGACAGAGCCTCACTTCATCATGATTCTCCTGCCCCAGCCTCTGGGGTAGCCAAATATCTTGGACTATAGGTATCTACCACCATATCAGCTTTTTAGGGTGGGCCGGGAATTGAACTAGGGTCTTGGCCTGCCATGTAGCAGTGTCTATTAGTGTGTGCAGCACGGCGGGGCCCAGTGCTCCTTTCTGAAGTCTCCTGTGATCCCTCCCAGAGGGGTCCATTGCTCCCCTCTCTGGAGAACACAGAGGAGACAGCACACGCTGATCCACTGCTGCAGATGGAAGCAGTTCTGCACTCCCTAATGGCACTTTTGTGCACCCATTTTTCTGGGGTGTCCTCACCAGGAGATGGGGAGGATGTACATACAGCAGGCCCTCTGCTTGCCATTTATCTTGTTTTGGGTTCCCCCAAAAGACGACCTCCCCACAGACAAGGACTGGGGGAGATGAGGTTTATGTGAGAGGTAACTAAAATGCACTATGGATAGAGAAAACGACGAGACCAGGGAGAAAGAAAAGTCAAAGATACCCTAATAACTGAGTGGGTGACCGCTGAGGACGCCTGGGGCCCAATCCTGGGGATACCCCTGGGAAACTCCACAGAATGAGCTGCAGGGTGACCACTCACTGGCCAAAGCGTGTGCCCAACACACACACCACTGACCTCTCCTTGAAAGGCACGGTGCTTGGCCTTCAAAGCATCACTGAGATGCATGGGTCAGAGTGCGGGTCTAGTACAGAACACAAGGCTCACCTCCAAACACCGTATTGGGGCTGGCAGGTGGCGTGGTGGTTAAGGGCACTGGACTTCCACAGGGCTGACAGTGGTTCAAGCCCCAGACCTGGTGGATTGCTTTCTCACTCCCCCTCCCCCACACCCACCCACAAACTGTCCCTTTCTGGTCAAATAGAAATAAATAAAGTTAATAAATTCTTAAAAAAAAATAAAAAAAAGACAAGACTGCCATTTAAAACCACTGTATGGTGTATCTGCAATGTGCTAAGAGGATAAACCTTACACCTTCTTAACCCTCCACAGTAATTATATACAGGTGACGGACAGGCTAATTAGGAGTATGGCGATCATTACACAGGTATACTTACATCGAAGGCCAATGTGGACACTTCTGTCCCCTGGCATTGGACAGTTGGGCTGGATTGGTTCTAGGACCCCTGGGGATACCCAGATCTACGGATGTTCAAGTCCCTTACAGAAAACCGTGGTAGTATTTGCATATAACCTGTGCACTTCCTCTTCCATCCTCTAAATCATTTTAAGAATCTAACACAAAGCAAGTGCTAAGGAAATGGTTGTTACATAGTATTGCTTAGGGATTCATGGCAAGGAACAAAGCCCGAACATGCTCAGGACAGGAGCAACCAATTTTCTACCCAAATATTTTCCCTCCACGGTGGTTGGTGGTTTGAATTCATGGATATAGAACCCTTGGATTGGGAGGGCCAGCTGTATCTTAAACATACACAACTTTTATATGTCAATGACATCTCAATATAGCTGGTGAAAAAGGCAAGGCTGACTTTCGCACATCTAATCCCACTCATTACTGTTCTATGACCCTTTAGATGATGAAATGAGGGAGTCGAGGGGAGACAGCAGCTTTTTGATCACCCTAAGTGTTGATCACCTTAGGTTGAAGCTGCTCACAACAGGCTTCTATGAGAGTCCCCTCAAGAATGAATAGGAAAAAAACAAGGGGAAACCTGGATAAACTCACCTTGGGGGCCAGTAGGAACTACAGTCTGAAAATGGTGGGGAAGGGAGGAGAGGCCACAGGACAAGCCTTCAGGTCTCAGGCTGGACAATTCCAACCGTCCGATGGGGATTCTCAATCCTTGCATCTTCCCTCTGCAGGTGCAGTGCCTCCCCCGGAGATGCCCTTGCCCAGCTGAGCGGAGCTGGCAGATGTTCTCCAGCCTCCCTAATGGGGAAGCCCTTTCATTTCTGAACCTCCATACCAGAGCTGGCACTCAGGACCTGAGCCTGGCCTCCCAGCCTTTTTCAGAGGACCCCCCCCCTCAACATTTCTCCCTGATCCTCCTGTCCCACGTTCTGTTCCCTCTCTCTACACAGAGAATGTCTTAAGATCTCAGGAGAGGCTCACACAGGCTTTATCCTCTAACCTTCTCTTTGAACCCACTCTAGGGGACTGAGTTTTGGTCCTGTAACTACCCCATGTCTCCCATATTTCCCTGCCTCCCCACGAAGTCCCGTGCAGGCCAGAAACCATGAGAAATGTTTCTGCCTGCTTTCCAAACTCAGGGAAGTGGGAGGGGTCAAAGATGAGCAGAGGAAAGGTCCTTTCAGGGCAACCCTGTTCCATGCCCCTCTTGGGTGGGCACCAGACTTTCTAATGTTATGACCGATTCCTGCATTTCCTGAATTTGTTCAGACCTCGTGCCCTAATCTTTGGTTCTGAAAATAGGACAACCGCTGTCCAGACCTTGACAGTGTCTGCTCTCTGAGGCTCCCTAAATTCTGAATGTCCTGAAGAGGCAGGGGTTGTGCTAGACTGGCTGGTAGTGGACCACCATGGGCTGAGACAATGGCTCCAGGGGGGCAGGAGGACCCACCGTAAACCACAGCGATGACCACAGCACACATTATTGAGCCCCTGCGACTGCCAGGCAGTGCTCTGCACCTTATCCCCACTATTCTGCTTCAACCTTGCAAAAGGCCATTATTCTCACTTTATAGATGGGGAACCCAAGGAACAGAACAATAAGGCAACACCCTTGCAGATCCATAGCTAGAATCCAACAGCACACCCACAGCTGCAGCAGACTCCCAACAGCGGTCATCCCACCTCTTGGCACCTGCTTGCAGTCTGACTGTCCTGTGACCTCTTCCTTCTCCTGACTCCCTCCGAAAAGAGGATCTGACCTGATCTAGATCCTGCTGCCACCCACTCCGGGAGAAAGAGGCAGGCTTGCTTCTCTCGGGATTTCTCTGGGTAGCGGCCATAGTGTATTTCAGCACTGGCCATTAGTGTATTTCGCCACTGGCCAGTCCCACTGCCGCTGTTCTCCCAGCCCCAGGGTCGAGATGAGACATAGATCTTAATGGCAGCCATTTTTTTCTTTTTTTTGGAGAGGTTTTTGCTATAGGGCACATGCACTCGCCAGAGAGACAGAGACAGAAAGCGAGAAATCACTCCCCCAGGGGGGATGGCCATGCC